CCAGGAGCTCATTTCTCAAACGTGGGGTTGCAGTGCCATCTAGTGGCTCTGAACAGAAATTTCACGTCAAGGGAATTTGGCAAAATACTATAGTTACGGGGGAAAATAAAGGTAGATCACACCTGAATCCAACACATCTTCATTTTAACCACCATCAAAGGAAATCACAACAGCTGGATTTGGGTCTACCGGCTACGTGACTTCTCGGGGCTGTTTTTGCTGCTGACGCACTTCTGAACAACATCAAAAGAAGTTTCATGTGATAGAGATATGAAGAACTGATTGTGGGGACTGTGGTGCTCTTTGACCTTAGCTGTTCCTTGCAGACCTTTCATTGCCCAATTAGATAACCTCATCAGTGCTAGGTGTGGTCATTCCCCTCTATTGCGCTCTGATAAATCTACGCCTCAATTATTGTGTATGATTCTGGCTTTATTGACTGGTTAAAACAAATTCAGAGAAATGCATCCATTTATGTGGACAGAAAAGAACTGTGATAACTACATTCAGATACATGAAAATGTAGCATTAAAAATGCCCCCAAATAGGGACAGAAATAATAGGTGTATATTACAGTCAAGTAAATATTGCATAAACCAGGGGTGTCCAACTTTAGCAACTTTAAGACTTGTGGACTTCAATTCCCAGAATTCTTCAGCTGGTCATGCTGGCTAAAGCATTCTGGGAGTTGAAGTCCATAAGTCTGGCTGAGGAATTCTGGGAGTTGATCCAAAAGTTGCCAAGGTTGGAGACTCAACTCCCATAATTCCCCAGCCAGACCTATGGACCTCAAGTCCCAGAATTCGTCAGCCACACTTGTTGACTTCAACTCCCAGAATTCCTCAGCCAGACTTATGGACTTCAACTCCCAGAATTCCTTAACCAGGCTTTTGAATTTCAACTCCATGACTTTATGGCTGGCTGAGGCATTCTGGGAGTTGAAGTCCATAACTCTGGCTGAGGAATTCTGGGAATTGAACTCCATAACTCTAGCTGAGAAATTCTGGGAACTGAACTCCATA